GCATAAATGGTACCACATTGAACAAATGAGCTCCTATTTTTATTTTTATTGAAGCATTAGATCCGTATCGTAATTACGGATCCATAGCAAAAAGAATCTTCAAATTTAGGCATCATACGAGGATTTTATGGTCATTATACTAAGAATTGGGTTGATAGATTTTTCAGATTAATTACGAAATTGCCACTGCTGCGTATTTAAAAATCTACACTATTTCTAAATATTGAAACCAACATATCTCCTTCAATATAAGGTCAAATGGAGTGATTCAAGAGCCTAACTTGACTAGAATTCACAAGGAATCCATTGGAGGTATCAAAAGTGAGTTTCGAGATCTTTTGGCATAAGAAACGAGGCAGAACAGTGTTAAAACGAGGGTTTTATGCATTTAACATATTTTGAGTTGGGGAGCTCGGAATTGGTCAATTTTTCGAGGTTCTTTTCAGCATATGTTTTGGTTATACTGGGTTTTGGTTATATTTCATGAATCTATATTCTCTACTGGGTTTTGGTTATATTTCATGAATCTATATTCGATTTTAGCTTTTGGTTGATGAATTTTAAAGAAGAAATTGGGGGTTTTGGCCTAAAGTTTCATAATAGGAATTTTTGAGTTTTGAACATTGATTCAGAGTCGAATTTGAGTGAAACTAGTATGGTTGAACTCGTAATTTAATGGGTTGACAGATTTTGTGAGTTTTGTCAGGTTCCGAGGTGCGGGCCCGGGTTGGGCTTTTTCGTCGATTTTGGGCTTTTGATTAAAGATTCGACCTTTTTTGATTGGGATTGGTTCCTTTAACATTGCTTGATGTATTTGAGTTATTTTTGGTTAGTTTCGAGCCAATTGGAGGTCGGAATGCATGGGATGGCATTTTTGGAGCATCGCTTGGCCTGCTCGACATTGGTATTGGCTCGTTCAAGGTAAGTAACTCCTCTAAGCTTAGTGTCGAGGGTATGAAACCCCGAACGATGTGTTATGTAATTGGTTTTAAGGTGATGCACATGCTAGGTGACGGGCATGTGGGCATGCACCCTGTGAATTGGGACTCTGTTATTCCCATGGCCCTGTATAGTGGCCCTATTTTGTGGATATTTGTGTTTCACCATGTGGTAAAGTAATTTTGTTGTCAATCATTCTAAATATCATGTTTAGGCTTCATGTTGATATTGTTTGTATCCATAATGGTTATTTCTGGCTGTTATCTCACTGATTTCCATTGATATTTTTGTACTCAATCATATTCATACATTCATATCATATCTCAGTCTCAGTTGTTGTTATTGATACATCGTATCATTGTTGCCGAGCTAGATTCATGACATTGTGTGCCTGTGAGTGAGAATGGAGAGATTCATGACTAGGTAAGGCCGAGGGCCTGAGTGAGAGTGACATTTTTGGATCGGGCTACACGCCACAACATATTATATCTATTATACTTTATGGGATCGGGCTGCACACCGCAGTGATATATTGATTATATTTATGTATATGGATCGGGCTGCACGCCGCAATGATATATTAATTATATATGTATATGGATCGGGCTACACACCGTAGCGATATATGGATCGGGCTGCACACCGCAGCGATATTGGGTCGGGCTGCACGCCGCAGCGATATAGCGCTTGGACTGAAGGAACCCCTCCGGGGTTTGTAAACCCCCAGTGAGCGCAGTCGACTATATATATATATATATATGGATCGGGCTGCACATCGCAGCGGTTATTACACAATGCTGAGTGATTTAGTGTGATGAGTATTAAGCTTAGTAGGAAAGGATGCGAGGTAATGATATTGGCTACTCTGAGAGTGTGAGTACATGTATCATCTCTGAAATACATGGCATTTACATGCATACATGACATACATGCATAGAGATGCATTTTTTTCATGTCGATAGTATCACGTCATTCATTACTTATTATACACATTGATATGTGGGTTTGGAGAGGCACTTTACACTTGTTATTTGGAAAGAAAATGAGACATTTTATTTATTGTGGAAAGGATATTTGGAAAAATTACAGTTTTCAAACTTACCCGTACTTTTGGCATTTTCGGCAAGAGATTTGAGATTTTCTTTCACTGAGATATTTGAAAAGCATGACCATTTTCTGGAATTGTGAACGAGCTGAGTATTTTATTTTTGAGATATCTTATTTTTTTACTTGTATTATGTTGTTATGAACTATTGTGAAAATATTGGCATTGGACCCGATATTGTGTTAGCTCATCACTGCTTTCAACCTAAGGTTAGGTTTGTTACTTACTCAGTACATGTGGTCGGTTGTACTGATACTACACTTCTGCACATTGCGTGCAGATGTCGGTTGTTGTTGTTGTTGTGCTCGATGGTTGTGGGACTTGAAGATGTACCGACGTCCCTATTGTTGTTGCCTCCTTTGTTCGTGGTAGCCTTAACTTATAAAACTCTGTTTATGTACTTTTCAAATAGACTGCGTATTTGTTTCATTGTTGCTTTGTAAACTCCATTCGTAGAAGCTCATAATTTGTACTTCCAGTCCTTGGAAAACGTATAAAATTCCGTAAATTACTTTCATTTAATTGTCTTGTTAATATAATTGAAATTGGATAGTTAATAATTGGCTTACCTAGCGGGTTAGGTTAGGTGCCATCACGACCAATGGATTTTGGGTCGTGACAAAAGGGCATCTAAAGGAAAATTGCTACAAAATTGTTGGTTATCCAGTAGATTTTAAAAGTAAGAAAAAATTAGGGGAACAAAGTGGAGTGTGGCAAAACAACAACTTCAAACAAGGGCAGTTCAGAGGAACAAATCAGAACAACACTGGCTTCAGATCCTATGCCAACAACATAGCAGGTGAAAGGCAAGTTCAAGGACACTTCTTCACAGAAGAAGAATAATCATAACTAATGGGATTGCTAAATAAGTCTCCACAAGATGGATGCAGTAGCAACATGGCAGTTACTGTTTCATTACTATCCAATATATATAGTTGTGGGTGGATAGTAGATTCAGGTGTCTCACACCATATTATACATTGCATAGAGTTGTTACAAGAACTCAGACACATAGATAAACTGTAGAATACTAAGGTACAAGTGCCAACTAGAGGGAGATCACACATAGCTAATACATAGAGCACATAGATACTAGGAAATTACAAGATCACTAATGCGTTACATGTGCCAGATTTTAAGTTTAATTTGTTGTCAGTGTTGAAATTAACTAGGGAACTTTCATATTCAGTTTCATTCTTCCCTAGCTTCTGTGTGTTTCAGGCACTTTATGGTGGGAAGGTAATGGGGATTGGTAGAGAGAGTAATGGCCTCTACATTCTAAGGTGAGGAATGGAATCACCAATGGGAGCGACAATAACTAAAAATGAAGACATGACAACTTTATGGCACTTGAGATTGGGACACCCCTCAATAGGAGCAATGAAGCACATTGCCTTACTGAAGAACAAAGTGACTGACAAGATATAAGAAGAGTGTATGGTGTGTCCTATGGCTAAGCAGAGCAGATTAAAATTTCCTAGTAGTGAGCAAAAATCTAGTTGTGCCTTCAAACATTTACACTCTTCTTAGTTTGTTACTATTGTAGATGTCTACAGTAGATTTACATGGCTGTGTTTGATACAATCAAAATGTGAAGTTGTAGTTGTATCGAAAAATTTCTTGGCTATGATAACAACTCAGTTTGCAGTTGTTGTGAAAAGGCTTAAATCAGATAATGGGACAGAAATTTTCAATTCACAATGTAATGAGTTGTTTACTTCACATGGAATAGTCCATTAAAGTAACTGCCCATATACACCACACCAAAATGGTGTGGTAGAAAGGAAGCACATGCATATATTAGAAATGGCCAGATCCCTGAAAATACAGAGCTCAGTTTCAGTCACTTTTTGGGTAGAATGTGTCAAGACTGCAGTCTATCTTATTAACAGATTACCTACTGCAGTTCTGAATGGGAAAACACCCTATGAGCTGCTATATGGGGAAGCACCTAAACTAGAACATCTAAGGGTGTTTGGGTGTTTGAGCTATGCTATCAATTTTCCTAAGGGTGACAAATTAGATGCAAGAGCAAGGAGAGCAGTGTTTCTGGGGAATTCTGATACTCAAAAGGGCTACAAGTTGTTTGACCTTGATACAAGGACATTCTTTATGAGCAGAGATGTCAGCTTTAAGGAAACCACTTTCCCTTTCAAAATGGGGAAGGCATGTGATTATGATCTGTTGTTTGTTCCCATAACAGAGCCACTGGAAAGGTTTTGCAACCTGAATTACCAAATACCGCAAATCCCACAAATACCATGCCAAATACCATAAATCCCACAAATACCACAAATCCCCCAATAGAAGCACACACCCATGATACTGGTAATACATAACCTGAGCCAATAGTTCCCGCAAATCCTACAGAAATTGCAGAAACTATGGATGACACACTGAAGATTCATGCTGAAACTGAAGATGAAATTGCACCAATGTAGGAACCAAATATGATGGATCAACCTACATACAATGGCGGGGGAAGAGAGTGACCAGACCTCCAATTTGGCTCAGGGACTATGTGACAAGTAGACCCTCTGGATAGTGTTCATATCCAGTATCCCACTATGTGGATTATAGCAGATTGTCACCAGGATATCAGTAGTATTTGGGATTGTTCTCAGCCCAAATGAAACCAAAGAATTTCACTGAGGCATCTCAAGACCACAACTGGATAATATCAATGAAAGAACAGATAACAGCTCTAGAGCAAAACCATACATAAGAGCTAGTAAATCTACCAGAAGGGAAGTAGGCTATTGGATCCAAATGGGTATACAAGATAAAACATAAGCCAAATGGGGATATAGACAAATACAAAGCAAGACTTGTAGCCAAAGGGTACAACCAAAAAGAGGGACTAGATTACCATGAAACATTCTCACTAGTGGCCAAAATGGTCACTGTGAGGACTGTCATTACTGTGGCAGCCTATAAGGATTAGGAATTATATCAAATGGATGTCAATAATGCATTCTTACAAGGGGATTTGCTTGAAGAAGTTTACATGGAAGTTCCTCAAGGTTTTCAACGACAGGGGAAGTATAAGTGTGTAAGTTGATCAAGTCCTTATATGGGTTAAAACAAGCTTCGAGACAATGGAAAATAAAACTTACTGATTCACTCCTAGCAGGTGGCTACAAACAAAGTTCCTATGATCATTCCTTATTCACCAAACATGCAAGAGGAGAAATAGTTATCATCTTAGTGTACATTGATGATCTCTTAATCACTGGAAGCAGCAAGGAATTGATACAGGAAGCTAAAGGAACTTTGCATAACAATTTTAAGATAAAAGACCTAGAAGAGTTGAGATATTTTCTGGGAATTGAAGTAATGAGGTCCAAAGATGGCATACTACTCAATCAAATGAAGTATGCACTTGGACTAATATCTGATCTAGGACTCAGTGGTTCTAGGCCTGTAACCACACCATTAGAAGTCAATTTGAAGCTTACAACAATAGACTATGATGAATATGTTGGAGGTGTCAATGATCTTGTACTTGAAGATATAACAACTTATGAAGATTTGATTGGGAGGTTGTTATACCTCACCATCACCAGATCTGATGTCAGTTTTGGAGTGCAAGTCCTACGCCATTTCATGCAAGGACCAAAGATTTCACACTGGAATGCAACATTGAGGCTAGTGAAGTATATAAAGAATGCACCGGGATAAGGACTGCTGCTAAGGAGAAATCCTATAGCCCAACTGACAGTCTTCTGTGGTTCAGACTGGGCAGTATGTCCAAACACTAGGAGGTCAGTGACAGGGTACGTGGTAAAGCTGGGAGAGTCCTTGATTTCTTGGAAATCAAAGAAGCAACAAACAACGAGCAAAAGTTCGGCAGAAGCTGAATACAGAAGCATGAGAGCAACAATCTCATAAGTAATTTGTCTAGAAGGATTACTAGCAGAGTTAGGTATGCCAGTTTCCAGACCTGTGCAGCCCTTTTGTGACAACAAAGTAGCAACTCAAATTGCTTCTAACCCAATCTACCATGAAAGAACCAAACATATCGAGATAGTCTGCCACTTCATTAGAGAGAAGATTAAAGAAGGGCTGATACAAGCTTAACACGTGAGTACCAATGATCAGCTGGCAGACATACTGACAAAGGCCTTTGGAACTGTGCAACATCAGCTCCTATTGTCCAAGCTTGGAGTATTCAATGTATTTCATCCTCCAGCTTGAGGGGGAGTATTAGAAATGTATACAAATACAATTAGAGTTAGTTTTAGTTAGTTAGTGGAAAGGACACGTGATTAGTGTGTGTCCAGTGTAGACGCGTAATTTTTGACCCTCCCCGAGAATTTTCACATTTTTAGCGTAAATATTTAATTTAGGTCTAATATAGCTATTTTAGCTATTTTGACTATTTTACTTTATTTTCGTCGCAAAAGAAAAATTACAAAAAATATATATAAAATTTTTAGCTTATGTATTTCTCATAAACTTGAAAAATACAAAAAATAGTACCTTATTTTTGTATTTTGTATAATTTCGAAAATTATAAAAAAAATATATGATTTTATTAATGTTTTGCAGTCATTTTAAACTTAAAAAAAAATATAAAAATAGTACTTTATGTTTTTATCGTTGTATAATTTCGAAAATTACAAAAAAAAAAGTTATTAACGTTTTGTAGCTATTTTAATCTTGAAAAATACAAAAAAAAAATAGTACTTTATATTTTATCTTTTTATAAAAACGAAAATGACAAAAATAGTTTTATTTATGCTTTGTAGCTATTTTAATCTTGAAAAAATACTAAAAAAAAGGAGAAATAGTTTTGTTTTAAATGTTAGTCTTATTTTGGTAGTTATTTTGCTTGCATAAGATTAATTAAATAACATTGTGTTTTTATTCTCGGGTCTGGACAAAGAATAATATTTGGGTTTAAACTACCTGTTTTTAGGCCTAATTTTCGGATCTGGCCCATAATAATCCGAGCCCACCACATACGGGGAACCCCACAGCGCATGGGGGACACATGTCTTGGACCCCTACACACGTGGGGTCCATGTCCTTTGAACAAGGACAAAACACATGGGATTGGAAATTTTAAAAGGTTGAAAATTTGGGAAAGGGCGGACAAAAAGGTGAAAAGAAGGGGGGAGGGAACGTGAGAAAAGGGGAAGTGAAAGAATTTTAAAAGAAAAGTTTTAAAAAGGAGAAAGGGACAACACGTGAAAGGGGGATTTAAAAATTTGAAAAGGCAAAACTTTTGAAAAAGGGAAAAGCGGACAGAACGTGGGAAAAAGGGGATTGAAAATTTTAAAAAAGCAATTTTTTTTGGAAAAAGAGAAGGACGGAACGTGAAAAGGAGGAAAGATTTTTTGAAATGAAAATGAAAAAGTACTGTTTCACCTCCTTTTTTGGGGGGAAAAACGGGAGAAAACGAAAAAAAAGGAAGAAGGTTGACCACGGCTGGCTTCACGATCCTTCCCGTCCAAACGAGGCCAGAACCAGCCCGAACTCCCACCGTCGAACCTCCATAGCTGCTGGACAGAGAAAGCAAACGGACACCAAACCATTCGTGCATTGCTTCTGCTGCTGCTTCGTCAACCAGGAACAGCCACAGCAACAACCTTCTCCCTCATTCCCCGTCAAGCAGCAGCAACTGCTGCTGCGTCGTCCAACCCCTCTCGTCCAAACGATCACCTGGAAATACCAGTAGCAGCCATGACCCATTCTCCGTCCGTTCGCGTTCGAGCTTATGGCGCGATCTATTCCGTTTGAGCTTTGATGACTGTTTCTATGGTTTTCCGTTTGAAGTCCGTTCGAGTGCCGATGTGAGGTTCCAGTTCGTTGGTTTCGTTGCTCCATCGCGCCGACTATGGCTCCATTTCGGTTTGACGAATGAGTTGTAAACCCCAGCAGTGTTTATCATTAGAGGTTCGTTTCTAATCTTTGTTTGAGTTGATATCGGTTACTATCCTGTCCGAGCTTGAATACATGTTATGTTGAAGATTTCGTTTAAATCTGTCGAGTTTTAGTTTTGTGCTTATGTTACTGCTATCTCAAATTGGCATGCTAGACGAAACGTTGTGCAAAAGTTTTCATGTTCATGACTAGCTTGCCGAATTTGTAGTCGGATTGATTTAATAAGTTCTATCATAACTTTGTTAGTCATTATTTTGTTGGTTGCCATATGGGTTAGTTCTAATGTAAGTTCGTGTTTAATTGTAATTTGTCAAGCTTGAAACACTCTTTATTAGCCGTACATCCTACTAGCTTCCATTGTTAGATTAATAAATTAGGATTTCTTTTTTAGAGAAGAACAAAGTATAAAATTGTAGTTGCCTTAAGCTTACCCTTTTAAAAATAAAAATGAGACGAGCCTCGCCAAATAAAAATACAAATTGTGGGGCCTTCAATAATTGGTCATAATCAATACTTAGAATCTGGGATGGATTATTTTGGTGAATTTCACTGCCTTCCCCAAAGATAATAACGCGTTAGACTCTCTAGACGCGATTTAATTAAGTTACATTTTTAAAACTCGCGTGCACATTTATGTGACCCAAATCCCAATCTCAACGGAGTCGAAGTGTGTCTCTAATCACGGGTACATTGATTGTGACGTGGTTTGAGATGCATTTTCATGACGTTGCAAGTTCTTATTTTATTAAATAATGAAGGAGACGAGCCTCGACAAACAAAAATGCACAAGCTGCGGGGCCCTTTAAATGTATATATTAAAATACTTAGAATTCGGGATAGGCCGTTTAGTGAATTTTACGGCCTTTCCAAAATAACAATACCCTAGTTGCTTTAAGCGCCTTTAATAATTTATTTTCCTTAACTCGGGTGTACATTTATGTGACCCGAATCCAAATCTCAACAGAGCCGAGATGTGTCAATAATCACGGGTACATTGGTTGTGACGTGGTTCGAGATATGTTTCCACGATGTTGCAATTCTTGATAAAAATAACAGTAAATGATAAAAGCGGTTAAAAGTTAAATTTTGCACATAAGTCATATTTGTATAAAATCAGATAATCAAGCCGAATATGACAGTTGAGCTTCCGTGCTAGAACCACAGAATTCGGGAATGCCTAACACCTTCTCCCGGGTTAACAGAATTCCTT